ACCCAGCATAGACTTTCAGAAATGTAAATGTTCTATTTTCTCACACAAACTAAGCTTCATATTATCTGTTTGAGTAGAATGTTATGGTACAGAAGTTGAATACACATAAAAGGTGAAGAGCAAGTTACACATTGTAATATTTTAAGGTATTAGAAATGATTGATAAAAATGAAGTATTTTAAATGAGTTACACGAGACTATCTCAAGGAATTACTGAAATGCCTCTCTCAGCTAAAGAATTCAATAATTATGTACTACATATTTACTTAATTTTAAAGTGACACATGTTCAACCTGTAGCCCACAGGCTGCATGTGGCCCAGCACAGCCTCTGCTCTGTTCTGCCCCCTGCCTCGTGCCATCATGGCGGCACCTCCTGCCTGCTGAGTGGCTTGGCCCAGCTCCGGACACCCAATAATCGCTTGGCAACTGCCAAAACATCAACAGGCCCAAGACAGTTCCTCCTCACTCAATGCATCCCAGGTGAGCCAGAAGACCGGACAACCATGTTTTAAAGCATGTAAGATGTCTTTGGATTTATAAGAAAACAGTGGCTCTAAATACACCTGTATTCACCAGTTTTCTGTAGATTTAGTAAAGTGTGTTGTATTTGTTGTTTCTCAGTAACTGTGAGAAGAGAGCTTTCCATAAGAATACATAGTAATTTGTACTGCCTAACTAATGACGAGATCTGTATTTCCTGACAGATCAGGACACACCGCCATTTCATAACCTTGCTGATATAGAGTCTAAAAAAAAATCAGACAGTATCAAACAGGACATGTAAATAAGAATAAATACAGCTTAAGGGAAACAGAAAAGAAAGCAGGTTTTTGTTACAGAGCAGGGAATCTTGAGACCGTGCAGCTGAGAGAAGCACTAGTATCAAGCTTGTAAGACTGGTAAGAAAATACATGTTCCTAGCCTTGCCATTGATTTCCTATTTGAAAATGATTCTTTACAGTTCTAAAACTTTTGAATATAAGCAAATCAGTGTGCAAAAAATTATTTCAAATCACTTATTATATTTCATTTCATGTAAGCTGTCAAAGATTAAAGAAATGAAAGAAAATGAAAAAAATCTTTTCAAATCAGCTTAACATTTTACATTTATAGGTAGGTACTTTTTAAAAAGGAAATTGTATTTTCTAACTGTATGTTGCGGAGTTTTACTGTAAATGTAAATATTGTTATTCAAAAATAAATACATGGGACACCAATTTTTTTTAATTATTGAAAATATTTTTGCATCAAACTGATTGCTTGGCTGTAAGCAGTGCTACTTCCTTGAGTGGAAAAATGAAAGCTTGCTGCTAAATTAATTGCAAAACAACAGACAAGGAGTTTTCCATTTTTCTTATCAACAAATGATGTTCTTGTTGTTTGCTTCCTTTTGTAACTTAGTTCATTCTCTATGATCTCTTTATTTTCTCTGTAATTGTCCCTGACTCTTACTTCCATTGAAACTGAAAACAACATACTTACAGTTTGTTTTCATTGATCAAGGATTCCTTCTGCCTTTTGGCCTCTTTGATAAGTCAGAATACATAATGAGTGAGCACAGAACAAAGCAATGAGAAGAAATTCCGAATGGGACTGCTGTATCAGGGAAGCTACTAGCAGATGATACACCAGGCCAAAGAAATTATTTCAGAATAAAGCATTATCCATCCAACTGCAGACCAGTGCAACGAAACTACTAGGGTCTGTGCTGATCCACAAATCACAGAAGATGTAAATTTATGTATCAGAAATCAATGTGCTATTTTAAACCACAGGTGGAAGGAAAAATAAACCTGACTCATCTCTGAACTCAAACCTATCTAAATGAAGACAAGATGGCTGCGGCCACCATTTTCCCTGTGCAGCTGGGCCGGTGCCATCATGCCTATAGCAGACCTGGCAGAGTGGGGAGCCACATGGAGAGCTTTTGGAAGGGCCACGAGGCTGCTGTGCTGTGGCTGCTGGTGCCTGAGCACCCTCCAGGCTAGGCTACCCCTCTTACAAAGAAAAGCTAAAGGGGCTGGGATGGTTCAACCTGGAGAATGCTCCAGGGAGACCTCACTGTAGTCTTCCACTGCTTAGGGAGAGCTTATAAACAGGAGAGAGACTTTTTAATACACACAGATAGCAAGAAGGGGGATGGTTTTAAAATAAAATGTGAGACTTAGATGTCAGGAGGAGATTATTTAGTCAGAGGGGGTTGAGGACCTGTCACAGGCTGCCCCAAAAAAATGTTGGTGTCCTGTCCTAGGAGGTGCTCACAACTAGGCTGGATGAGTCCCTGGGCAGCCTGATCTGATGAGTGATATTCCTTCCCATGGCAAGGGATTGGAACTAGATGATCTTTAAGGTGCCTTCCAACCTAATCACTTTTGGTAATTTTATTTAGCTTATCAATTGAAAAATTTTGCAGTGAGACTGTTTCTAATACATACTGAATTTACTGGCAATGTATTGGATGGCAGAGTAGAATCCTGGATGACTGATGACTTAGCTCAGAAAACTGGAGGCCGTTGTGCCAACATAATGATCTAACTTCTCTCCTGTGTCAATGCATGGCTCCTTAAGTCAACTTTAAGGACAGATCATGAAGGCACATGAGATCTGTCCAACCTAACTGTCAAACCATCCTGCAGATTCATGCTGAAGCACCTATTAGCTTTAAATATGATTTCATGATCTTTACATCAAATTTGATTAGTAAAATGCTGGAATTAAGCAGTACTGTTTATGAGGATTCATATTCATTACACTTGGAAATCTAATTCTTCTTGTGGAATCACTATACTAACTCAACTATGAGCACATAGGTGTATCCAACACAACACACACAGACCTCCCTTATGTGGCTTCTTAAATTAGAGGCCTATAAATTAAATTGGTAAACAGGTAAAGTCTTAAAAGCACAAAGGAAAACTATAAAACATGTACCTGTGCTTGCAGTACGCAGTACATGTAAATATGTTTATTTTGTACCTGCAGTACCCATTTCATAACTTAGACATCCAGGTATGAAGTCAGCCCTGTAAGGCATTCTAAACTTGTTCCCCTCTTTGCCACATACAAATACCTGGACTACCTCTAAAATAGACAGTCTAGGCAACAATAGGGTGCTTGGGTGGGATGCCATACTTGCCCAAAGGCAACTCAGACAATCTTTTTCAAAAACCATGGTGTCTTCCTCCCTTAAGTTGAATAGTATTACTTAGTCTATAAAGAAAAAAAGATGTAGTTCACTTAAAAAAAAAAAATAATAATAATAACCTGGCATTGTGTCTTCACTTCCATATTTATTTTTCAAACAGCTTAATTCTCTGAGGGGTACTGCCCAATGTGAATGAATGGTCAGAGAGCATGTCTCAGATATCCTGGAAAAATTTAGCTCAGTGGCTGACTGACTACTTTTGTCTAGAAGAAAAGACATGCCTTCTGGCTTAATCAAATACAGGCTTCATAAGAAACTGCTTCCAACCAGAGATGGATTTAGTCAGCTTAGTTGTAAAAGGCTGGTAGGAGATCTAAACGAACTAATGCAACTGGAAACACACCAGCATGTCCTTAATATGGCCGGAATAAGCATTATTGACATTACCAGGTTCCAATACTACAACAGCATATTGATCCTTGCAATATTGATCCTGTGCCTCATTTTGTATTACTTTGGTCTATTACTGTAGTTCTAGACATTGTGTCTCAGTCAACAATATTTCAGGTATCTCCTTAAATCTGGTACATTGTGAGCCACATAATTATTTTACTGTGTTTTGACAATATGGAAAAGATTAAGCCCAAATTAGTCTTGAATACCTTCAATTGGCTTTTCTCAGCAGAATTCAAAGGAAGTCTGGGGTGGGGGGACTAGTGAAGGGCACCTGTCTTCTGCTGTAATTAAGTAGGAGGAGAGGGTCTCAGCATCATATTGTGCTGCAAGGTTCCTTATATGAGGATATCCAATGCCAGAGTAGATGAGCTGTGTGGCATTATTTTGGTGAGAGAGAGAAATCACTTTCACTCCCCGACTTTCCAAACCTTCCTTTCCCTTTCCCAGAAAGATCCGTTGCTCTACAGAGAAGTACTGACATACCTACTACAAACTGTTATCATAAAATACTATTTTACCCAGGGATCTTCCATGTTTACGGATTTACTAAACTTACTGATTTCTTAATAGCTGAAAATGTTTCGACATTGCTAAGGCTTTTAAAGACCACAGGCATCATACAAAAACATTCTGTCAGCATTTACAGAGCTACCACACTCTGTTCCTCCCTTCTTTCCTTCAGAAATATACCATGCTTTTACACTTCCGAATAACAGAAAATAAAATTGAGTTTCTAAAAATGATTGCAATGGATTTCTCTCCTTTGTTCCTTTATTGTTGCTTTTAGTAAAGGTAGGTCACTAATGGTGAAATGTTAAGGTGTAATTTAAGCAAATACGTACCAGAAAGCATGTGACCCTTAAGAAGCAGTCCACATTTCTATCTTGACTAAAATATCAACTAGAAAAACTAAAATTATAATTAAAAAACCATTTAAAAACAACAACAACAACAACAAATAAAACAAGCAAACAAACAAACAAACAAAAAAAAACAAATCCAAAAAGACACTAAGCATTTAGGTACAGAGACAACTTTCAATGGATGATTTGAAGAAAAAGAAGTTACTTGATCCAACCTCCTTAATAACCAGATGTTTGCAATCATCAAAAACACATCTTTAGCTGAAACAATTTCTCTGTTCAGAGCATTCAGTCTCCAAGAGCATTTACATAACAATATGTGACACCTCTAATGCTTAAGGCCACCAACCATGGCAGTACAAATTACAGTCATTTTTCAATACTCAGTGCAAGGTGCAGCACTTCCAATTCTTGGATTGGTTGCATGCTGTGTTGGTTTCTGCAGTGAGACACGACCAGCATGCACCACAGTTACAAACAGTTTGCAGCCTTTGGAAATTCACGGTGTTAGGTAAAAGAGGCTGATCTCCTTACCCGCCGTAGGCTGGAATCGGAGGGGGGGGGTGCTGCTGCACGAAACGTGTTGTACACTGTGCGACCTCGGCCTCTTAGGTGGGCACCTCTGTACGCGGCAGCTGCAGTTGCAGCAGGGTAGGGAAATCCTGGCACTGCACAGAAAAGAAGAGAAATACAAAATATTCAGATCAATCTGGTGCTTTAAAACTAGGTAAAAGTAGTGTAGCAGTATTGTTGTGCCTATATTAAAGCACGGTCTTTAACTGGATGAGGTGGATATTGTCAAATAAGTAAATTATTAGTCATTCAACCAGAGGCCTCATTATCTTACATAAGATCTTTGTATTCCCTGCAAGCTGGGAATTTAGATGGCATTAACACAGGTAGCTCTGATGTCCCTGGAAGAGACTCATTAATAAAAACAATGCTGTCTGTTGCAGACAGCACCTCTAAAAAGAGACGTTTGAAGCCAACAACACTCAGCCCAGGCACAGATTTATAGCACCAGAGAAATTTCTGGATCTTCCAAGCAGGTGTGAAACACTGGACCAAGTGACGTCCAACAGTCCCCTTTTGATCTGAATAATTTGATGATTTTACAAATGCAACGGAGCTTCCATTTTCAAAAATTTGATTACTAATAGGTCTGAGTTGTATATCAAGGGGAAAAAAAGAGAGAGCAAGAGCAAGAGCTTTCTCAGAGTTTGGGAGGTATATCAAGTTTATGATGGTACATATTATTTCTTCAAAGGCAAAAGCTGAATAATTGTAAATATGTGAATTCAGAAAATATTCAGACCTAATAGAAATAAATTAGATATATAAAGAAGAAACAGACAATTTTATATTGTCATTGCAAGTAGCTGTAAACATTAATTACCATTTCACACAAAACAACATATTTTCATCAGAAATAGAATAGTAATACAGTGGTAAGTTTTATTCGTTTTCCGTAAAATATCTCTAAAACTCCTCTGTTCCCAACTATTTTAATTAAAAAAAAAAAGAAAAAATGAAACTTCCTATTTTATTTTACTTTTTTTAAATGAATACTTAATTATTCTTTTCTTCTTTAGACACATGTTGCTGGCTACTGTTAAAACGTCTTTCTGGAACCAATTCATCAGTGAGACACAGAAAATTAAATCCAGCTCTGATGGCACTCAGGTTACTTTAATTGTGCTTCAACATACTGAATTATTTACAGCATGTAAATAAAGAGATACATTAATATTGCTTTGTAGCACCCTGATAAAAGCAAATGAAGGAAATGATGACTAAAACAGTTTTTCAAGTCCGAAATATGCTTTCATTTCACATTTGTCTTTCATCTGTTAAATTTTTAAAATAGCCTTGAATTTGAAATAAAGACAAAAAATTCTCAACTTGTAAATGTTATTAGATGAAATGTAAAGGAAAATACTGTAATAATGGTGACTTCAGTATTGCCATAATGCTGTGCCTCATTCAGACTGTCCGGTCCCTCTCAGTGAAGAGTATGGCCATGAAATCATGCCTGAAATTGTACATATCTTAAATAACAAGCCTTAAGCTTAGTATTCTGTAGCTACCTTTAATAAATGTAGTTTTAGGGAACTGCCAAGAAAAAGAGAAATTGATCTGACTTAAATGCCACTAACAAGCATGAATGAAGAAGTCTGATCAGCTTTGAGCAGTTTGGATAACTTCTTCACTTACACGTGCTTCTATAGTTCTTTACATACTGAAAATGCACTTCTACGGAGTAACAGAAGCAGCTGTAAAGAAAAATAAACCACCTCGAGAAATTCTAAACTCAAGCAATCAAATGGGGATTTAACAACCCCGTGGATTTATACGTAATCTGAGAACCTCTACTCTTAAGATCTGTTTCAGCAGTCAGTTCTTAGCAGTTAACATATTTAGCTATGTTTCAAGAAGTAAATAGTTCATCTTTCAGAAAAACAAACCAAAACAAAAAAGTCAGGGTCCCAGACAGTTTTGCTTCTGTAAAATGTACTGTTTGAAATCAACTCGTCCATTTCTCTATGTATAGTGGGAGGTGTATAAATAATGGGCCTGTCTCTTCATTTCAGATGAAAAAAGTAACAGTGGCTAATGTTTTTGTATTTCTTCATTACTTTTAATTATATCATTAATATAGCTTTCACACACACACAAAACAATGCACAAAAACTGCAGTAATTTTGCAAACATTTATGAGAGATGCTAAGACCAGAAGGGTATTTCTACCATTTTCAAGGAATCTGATTTTTTTCTATGTTGTATTAAAATGGAAAGTCTGCTATGCTCATCTCACATGTATTGACTCCTTAAGAAAATCACAAAACATAACACATCTAGAGTAAAGCAAAACTCCAGAAAATCTTACAGAAGCAACAATTAAAATTTAGAATAATGATCTGCAGTTCTGTCACGAAGAAGATAAGTCGTAATGGAAACTAAATCTGAGAAATATGGAACTATGAATGGTGTTGCAAAATCTTACAGAAAGCTATCTCATATGAAGTAGAATTACATCCATCCCCCAGAAATGACTTGGGTCATCCTGATAGAGCTGTGAAAACATGCCTTCTAATTACAGATACATTATTAAAGACTGCAATTATTGCCAGAGGTATAGTAATTGGTAAGATCATGTCAGCCTAGATTTGAGTTCAGTAAAAAAAAATGATGCTGCTTTATCCCAGCTGAGAAATCAGGTGGTTAGGAGCATGCAATAACCACAGAATTTATTTTGCTACCAACTTTTTAATATCCTCAACCCCAAAATAACCAGAAGTAACACCACTGGAACATAACTGAATAATGGACTTAATAAAAACAATTTTATGAGATGGTCTTTCCCATCAGGAAGCATTAAGAGGCATCAACCAGCCCCCAAAGTAATGAATATAGTAGCCAGGAGGGTTAAGAATTTAATGACTTCCAGTTTGTAGGTCAACCTTCCTTAGTGCCTCCGTGCCAAACTATTGAAACTCAGTCACTGAAAATGCTAATATAATGGCACAGAAAATGTGTTTGACCATCAGCTAGGAAGCATCAGAGTACCTTTCTAAATAAAAATAGCTTAAATGTATCAAAGTAATTTGATGACTGGAATTCTGATCTGAGATAGGGAAAAGGGAAATTTCTCCAAGTGCTCGTTATTGGTAACAATATGAGGTTAAACAAACAAAGAAACAAACAGAAAAAAAGTAAAACAAAACAACAACAACAAAACCAACACAAAACCTACATCTCTAAGGACTTCATACAAGCAAATATAAGCCAAAGAGGCAATTCACTTTCTCATCTAATAGTCCCTATCAGTTCTATAGTTGGTTATTATGTTATTCAAATGTGAATGGCACTACAACTGTAAAAACATAAAAGCAGTTAATACAACGGAAATGCAGTTTTTCTTTTTCTAATGAAAAAGAGTAAAAGCACTTGTTTGTTGCCTAGTATGATTACCAAAAAGCATACAAATAATCTTTTATTACAGCTTAACTTAAAAAAAAAAAAAAAAAAAAAAAAAAAAAAAGGAATGCTAATTTGGTAAAATCTCTTATTTAAATGTATTTGTTCTACACTGAAGATTAAAAAACAAAAACAAAAAAAAAAAAACAAAAAAAAAACAAACACAAAAAAAACTCAAAAAAAAACAACAAAAAAACCCACTTATATTATTACAATGAAAATTGTCCCAAAAAATCATCTGCACACTTTGTAAACATGGAAACACTGTCGTGGTACTTCCTTCATCAAACTTCAGTTTAGATCTTAAGCTTTTAATTTGGTCAGCACAATGCAACGTTTCTGAAAGATAAGAGCCTTTTGGGATTAACAGGACTTGCTACAATGTGGGTAAAATTTAGGTAAATAACAATCTCATATAGCAAAGAAATACAGGTATGAGATACAGATCCCTTTCATGCCAATCACAGTTGTGTTCACAAACTAAATTTATTAAAATCTTATTTTCTCCCAAAACATATAAGCTTTGGTTTTGTTCATCTTCTACTAAATAAAAATGACAGATAGTTGACTTTCTAGACACCAGATCTCCACCTAAGCATTGGAAAACAGACTGAGCACTGATAAAGCTTGAGTTCTGAAAAGGAGGAACATAACCTGCTAAAATAATACTTAAGGGTTACACACTGTATATTAAAGTTTTAAAGCTTTGGGATGGATGAAAGTGTAGCAGATGTAAAAAACAATAGGGGGCAGATTTTGTATCAAAGCCATAAAAATATATGGCCATTTTAATGGGCAATTATTCTTTGCATTTGTGCTGTGGTTTGAATTTGTATGAATGTGCCATATGCCTCAAGAAAGGTATGCCATCAAAATGGATGAATGAATCTACCCCTCATCACTCCTAATCTCTCCTGCTCTGCACAAATCATAAGGTCATCTGTTATCAAGAATTTTCCAGTGTTTTATGTTGAAGAGTTTAATGGTACATCCTGTTGGAAGTGGTTCATAGCTAATTTACTACAAGGTAGTTTAACTGTTAGAAATGAAGGAACATACATTTATATTATCACCATAGTTTAAAAAGATCCTTGTTGAGGAAACACTTCAGAAGTGTGGGACAATAAATTAAGAACAAAGAAGAGAATAATCTATATCATATCATCTGAGATTGCTGAGACAGAATCAGGAATTTTTCCTGATGTGTGTTTTATGTCAACTGACTTTTCCACTGGTATTAGTAGTACTACGTAGCTTTAATTGGCATTTTCTTTAAGAATTATAAAAACTGTTAGAGAGAATACTTGTAGAATTTTGCATTTAAATACACAGTCAAAACTGCTTTGCAAGTAAAAGCTCCATTATCTCAGCTTTTAAAATGACAGTTTTAAAAATCATATATATATATATATATATATATATATATATACATACACACACATAAATTTCAAAGTTCAAAAAAGTCTTTAGAAAGTTCACAATGCTTAGTAACAAACTAAGTACCCTAAAACTGCATTTATTTTTCACCTATCATTTCTGTGAGATTATTATCCCCGGGATCCAATTGTGAATTAAATGAATTGAAAAGAAATTTGCCATATACATCAAACACAGGCATGACCAGTTCCTTCTATTTCTTTCATTCAAAATACAAACCATATGTTTGTTTTTGAAACCTACTCAGAATTAG